TTTTTTTTTCTTTCCTTGTTTATCTGTCAGGAAGTCCTATTAGTTGCATCTAAAATGTATCTACATTTGCTCTGTTTCTTGCCCTCTGCAATGACACTCTTCTCTACTTTTATTTCTTGAATAAGTTAAGGGAAGACCATCCCACCTCATCTTCCTGCTTTATTTTTATCCCCCTAAAACTCAATATCAATCAAATAGCCAGAGATATATTTTAAAAATGTAATTCAGGTTGTAACATTCTCCCTCTCCCCTCAAAAGTCCTTTGATAGAGATGAGGCCAAGATGGCAGAGTAGTAGGATGCTCGTAGCTCACCCTCTCCCACAGATACACCAAGACTCACATCCACGGACCCATTCAGCCAACCAGAGCACCTGTGGAACTCCGAAAGAACACTGTCCTCTTCAAAAGACAAAGACACCAAAAATCTGGTAGGAGAAAGGAAAAAAAGAAAGCTGAAAAGGTAAAACAGTGAGGAATGGGTCCTGCAGGGAGGGAGCGGCAAAGGAGGGCTGGCACTTGTTTGCTGGGTCTCCCTCTCTCCAACGGAGAGGCCATCAGGACAGAGGGGGAGCCTCCAAGGCTTGGATCTGTATGGAGCAGCCCTTGACCAACAGAACTAAGTTAAATGGGCACAGAGTGTCCCTGCAACACCCAGCCTGAGACTCAAGCTGGGAGCTGGGGGCCAGGACAGGCTGCCTGAGCCAGGCGGAGGACGGAGATGGCTGCCAGCCCAGGGGGACTGCAGGGAGCTGTGCAATGTGGATGAGTGGGTGCACAGGGCAGAACAACCTGGGCCCTCCATTAAACAGCACGGCTGATGTGCCCTGAGGGGAAGGGTGCATAACCCCATCTCTGAAAACCCAGGGAAGGTTTTCCATGAGGAGAGGTGGGGCTCAGGCGCAGCCACCATATCCTCCAGCTCTTGGCACCCAGGTGGGGGCAGGGGCGAAAACTGAATCTGCACCTGGGGGCTCGGCAGCCTCAAAGGCCAGACAGTGACTTGTTTGCAGCTTGAGTCAGATAGGATCCTCCAGCCCTGGTGCCTCCTAAAGTTCGTGCTGCCAGGACAGACAAGGAGCTGAGTCTGGACACAGAGCAGGGGCCAGACCGTTCCGAGGTCTTCCCAGGGCCAGCCTACGGAGCATGGATCCACGGCGGAGAGTGCGGCATCACAGAGTGCGCAGTGGCATGGAGCTGCAGAGTGACTGGCACTGGGAGGTGGCAGGTGACCCCCCTCCGCCTTTCCAGCAGGAATGCTGTGCTGGGAGGGGGCGTGGTCTGCTTGCCGACAGGCCCTGGGAGCAGCACAGAGGAGGGCACCAATGGAGGGCCTCTGGAAACAGCAAGCTGAGTTCATGAAACAGGGCGAAGACAGAAAGGCTTCTCATTAAGAGCACACAGTCTCCAGGAGAACACCCCCCCCACCCCCTTTTTTTATTTTGTAATCTGTTCTTACCTGTTGTATTTTCTATTACCTTTTTAATTTTTACTTTTTAAACAATTACATATCCTCCCAGTTTTAATCCCTTTTAAATTTTCTTTTAAAATAATATTATTATTGTCAGCCAAGGGAGGCTGATGTGGGG